TGTGGGTTTTACCTAGAAAAGCTTTAATTGTTAAAAATAGCACTTTGATTTGAGCTAAAAGTACAGGTTAGCTGTGAACTCTGAAATTTTTTAGTGGCCTAGCAAATTTGATATTACCAAGTAGTAAAGAGGAGAACTAAGGCACTGGCAAGTGATCAAGTCTTGGCTGTCTAACACACAATATATTACATTGCAGTAGAAGCCATTAAAAAAGAAAATCAATACTTTTCCAGAAGTGCTGCAGAGCCTCCTCCTTTTTAAGTACTGGAAACTCCTTTGGCAGCTCAAGTGCTCTTTGTGTAACTCAGAGGCAAACGCTGAGCTCTGTGGCAGCTTCTGTCCAACTCGTTTCTCCATATGGGGTGCAACTTTTCAAGCAACATCAGGATCAGGATAGTTTCCTAAAATTCTCACCTTGCAGCTTTGAAGGATGTAGCATTGAGAAAAAGTGTCTGTGAAGAGGTTAAATTTCTATTTCTGGTTCTATGCAAGTGGTTTGGAATTGGTTTGAAGTCAAGTGTTCAGTGCCACAGGAGTTGCTGGTGTGTTGTATAACCCTGATGTTCCCTAGGGAGAGTAAAAAATGATTAAAATGTACCAAATGCATAGCTGGGATTAAGTACTTCAGGAAGCAGTGAAGCTGTAGGAACCTCTTGCTGTAGCTGCACAAGGCATGAGCAGTGCAGAATGCAGTAGCACAATAATTTTAAAACATTTCTCTATAGAAAATATTTGATGTTGAACTAAAAAATAAAAGGAACTGAAACACTGGGATAAAACTTGGCATTTTAGATGCTGCCAAAGCCAAATTTGTAGATAGACTCAGTTCACTCCCTGGCTCTGAATTCACCTGGAATGAAGTACTTGCCCACCTGAATTTAATGCCAAAGGTTTCATGTCCCTCAGTGTGGGAGATTGAGAGTTTCACTTGCTGATTCTTCATCTCCCTATTGTGCCAGTCCACAGAGTATGGAGCTTTGATTTCAGACTTAAAGATGTGTGTACTGACGACCTGTGAAGAACACCTGCAGTGATAATCCTCTCCACTGTTCTCTGCTAGATGTAAACTCGTTCCAGCAAACAACAAAATGGATTGATGACGTCAGAACGGAAAGGGGCAGTGATGTCATCATTATGCTGGTGGGAAATAAAACAGATCTAGCAGATAAGAGGTATGGAGGAATCGTTAATCTGTCAAATGCTTTTGTTACTCTGCTGCTCTTTTCTCCTAGACAACTGATTTTAAAAGTATTCTAAAATTTATTTGTCTTTTTCTGAAATGCTCAAGCTTGTTTCAGCTGTGACTAGAGAAACCTCAATTTTAAAACTCCTTTCTTTTGGTTAAGCCCAGCTTCCAGCAGGGTGCTGTGAATGAGTTGGAGGAACTATCACCAACCTGTTCAGATGTCAGGAGAGAACAGAGTGTTAGCCACAACCTACATCAGGGAATGAAAAAACTGGTTACAAATATTAGTTCTTAATAAATGTTCTCAGATGTAAATGACAGGTGCAAGTCATCCTTTTGAAATTCTAATCCTCCCATGTGAAACTCCCCAGGGCTTCTCCTAAGTTTGCTAACCAAAATATTTTGATGTTGTGCACTTTCTGCTTTTGCTGTGTTTGCTGCTTCCTCTGGGTTTGTGGTATTACTCCATCCCATATGAGATGGGTACTCCTAGACCTTTGTTAAAACAGTTTCTTATTCATGGTTATTTTTGGATATTAAAACATAGTGATTGCTAGTTGTTCAGGACAGGGATGTTTGGGGGTCTAGTTGGCTCACTTGGCTGTTCCACTGGAATGTTGAGTTGTGCTTTGGGAGCTAGATGTGCTATGGAAGTCTGTCTGATACCTGAAGTGGTGATACCTGTCTGCAGTATGCTCAATGTGTGGAGAAAACAGTATTAAATGCTTTCAAAACTGCAACAAATCTGAATTTTTAAGGTGTTTGGGTGGGTTTTTTTCCCCCCTAACTCTGTGTTATCTTCCCCAGACAAGTGTCCATCGAGGAGGGAGAAAGAAAAGCCAAAGAGTTGAATGTAATGTTCATTGAAACTAGTGCAAAAGCAGGATACAACGTAAAACAGGTGAGTGATGCCTCAGCCAGCCCTGAGGTGACTATTAGCACTCCAGTGTGGAACTGGGACTTTGCCTGGAAGCCTTGGCAAAGGGTGTCCCAGGGATGTTTGTGGTCCATACACAGCAAGCAACACCTCAGAGTTGAGTTGTTGGCTGAGGTTGAGGGAGATCCCTGACCTTGCAGCAAATGACTTGGGAATTCTTTCCCCTTAAAAATGTGGAGTTATGGAAGGATCTTTGTGGGTACAGAATTAGACATTCCTGGATTTCTGATAATCCAGCTTTGGTGATTAGACTGAAAGTGATTAAGACATGAGCCAAGAAGTTGGGGGAACACAGATCTGAGGACTGTTTCTGCCCCTGTTTCAGTGAATGAATGTGGCCAAACCAATGGAGGAGGAGCTTGATGGCTTGAAATGCTTCCACTGCACAGTGAGACAGTGCAAACTGCTGTTTCCACTCTGCTGGAAGGCGCTGAAGGTGTGAGCAAATGTTCCTGGACAGCCAAAGCTATTTATTTCTGGGAGATGACGCGTTGCTTTTGAATCGGGGAAAGCAGTGAAGTATCTTTTGAGCTGATGCAACTGTAGAAAATTAGGGATTAGGTTGTGTTATGTGCAGAATTGTTACAGAATTTGCATGAAAAAAATTTTGTCAGAGCTTATTAGTTATGTAAACAACATTGGTTATATAGAGTGAGCTAGAGCTGTACATCCCTACAGACTCAGTGACTGTGGGGTGTTGTTCCTTCATTGATGTGGCAATTTCTCACACGGAATCATGTTTACTGGAGCATTTGGCAGCAGCTCTGTGGCAGGAGGAAGTGCAGTAGGGCAAGATGTAGAAGACATTAGTTCTTAGGTACCTGTCTTGAGTGTAAACACACACACACACACACACACACACACACACACACACATGTGTATGTTTGTGTGGGTAATAACTGCATTCAGCTCTGTGTCCCCCAGTATAAGAAGGACATGAAGCTGCTGTTGAGAGTCCAGAGGAGGCCACGGAGATCCTCCAATGGCTGGAACACCTCTGCTCTGGAGCCAGGCTGGGGAGAGTTGGGGGTGTTCAGCCTGGAGAAGAGAAGGCTCCAGTGCCTAAAGGGGCTCCAAGAGAGCTGCAGAGGGACTTGGGACAAGGGCCTGGAGGGACAGGACAAGGGGGGATAGCTTCCCACTGCCAGAGAGCAGGGATAGATGGGATATTGGGAAGGAATTCTTGGCTGTGAGTGTGGTGAGGCACTGGCACAGGTTGCCCAGAGAAGCTGTGGCTGTCCCATCCCTGGGAGTGTTCCTGGCCGGGTTGGATGAGGCTTGGAGGAACCTGGTCCAGTGGAAGGTGTCCCTTTCTGTGGCAGGGGCTTTGAACAAGATGATCATCAAAGTCCCTTACAACTCAAACCGTTCTATGATTCCATGTGTATGTATACAATCAGAAGTATATTTTACATGTGTAGTGGCACAAATAGTTTATATGCAGAATGGTAGCAGGAGTTGCTAAAATAAGCTTATAAGCTGCTTTATAGACAGGACTGAAGGGTCTGTTATTAAAGTGTCCATTGACTTTGTATATAAGTAGCAAAATTATTCCCTATGTAATGGAATAATTAGATGTATTAACTTAGCACTGTGTTCCAGTGCATTAGCAAGCAGAAAAGTGTTGGGTTCCAGGGTCCACCAATTATCCTGCCACAACAGAGGCTGACTTGCAATTAAGATTTAGATTCTGGGCTGCAATCCTTTCATGTGTGCTTAGACTAGGGGGTGTGCACTCAAGAGCAGATGCTTGGCTGAGAGGAATGAGGAGGATGATGATGAAGCTCTGTACTCCCACATTCTTTGAGGGAGTTTATGTGCAGCTGCCACATTTCTAGAAATCTGTAGCCAAGCCTGTGAGGTAGATTTTGGCTTCCAAGGCTTTCAGAGCTGGTTGGAAACCTGAGAATTTGAGGTGGAAGTAGGAAAACTCTGCCTGGTATGGCTGTGGTCTGTAAACCATCCAAACAGAAGACATGAGGGGTAATTCAAAGAGAATTGAAAATGGGGGTTTCTTCTAAGCTTTAGTCCTTGTGTAGCAGGCATGGACTGGGATGTTCAAAACTGTGGATTTCAAAGATATTCTATAGTGTAGAATATTTGTAACTCTTATTTTTTTATTAGTTTAGTAAGTGGTGGTTGAAAGTTCTCAAATGATAGACTTTTAATATTACTAGTTATATAGTTTCCTGTTTCCTTGCAGCTTCTCTGTTGAATTGTATGGATTTATTTTACTAACTCATCAATGAGTTCTCCCCCAGTGAAACAAGGAAGCACATGGCTACAGCTGCAGGATGGATACCATTCCCATAACCTGTGTCAAATCTTTAATGAGCTGAATGCCAATTTGACCTGCCCATAACTGATACTTTATATCCATAATATATTCTCATTCCACAGAACAATTACCAAGTTAGTTTTCACACAGGATTTTTAAATCAAATGTCAAATTATTTTAGATAAGGCTGGATTTGATTACATATAATAAAGTACATTTATATACAAATTAGGATTACCTCATGCCAGATATTAAATACTAATGTGAAGATGAATCTTAGAGTAGTTGATGAGTCATTGGTTTGTCCACTAAGGCATAGGTTTAGATTTACCAATGAATTAACAGCTTGAATACTGTGTGTGGCTGAAATGTGTAGACTGGGGAACATGAACTTTTTGGGGTTTTTTTTTTCCTTCCATGCAAACCTCTTTCCTGCTTGTATTGAAACTTCTCAGGTTGTCAGTGCTTCACTTCACAGCCTGTGTGGGCAGTCCAGGAAAACTGACAGACAGCTGTAGTTTCCCTGCTGTTCTCTCTTCCCATCACAGTCTGTCACCTGCATCTAAATCCTGTAATTAAAGGTAGGGAATGGCACAAGTTAATGCAGAAGGAGGCTTGGGATGAAGTTGAACCCTCAGTCCTCCATTCTTGGCTTCTTTACATTTCTGTCAACTTCTCATTAAGGTTCTGATTTCTGGGTGGTGTTGGCTTCTGCCTCATGTATATCCCACCGTAGCTTCCTTACTTTCTATCCATCCTCTCTCTCAGGTCAGAGATATGAATTCCAGTGTCACTTGTGTGCAGACGAGTCCTGGAGATATGATTTGGAACCCATCTGGCTTCAGTGCCTGAGGTGTGAGGCCAGGCAGGGTAGCAGGAGCAGAGGTAGCTCAGGAGACACCATAGGACAGTCCCCAGTGCTCTACCCTCACGCCAGGCTTGGCTAGATGTCAGAGTAATGTCGTCTCATGGGTGTGTTGGCCCAGGCACTAGGATTCTTCAAGGGATGATGTCCCCAAGGTTTCAGACTTAGTGTTTGTGCCATTAAGGACAGGGAAGAAGGTGAATTTCTTGTTCTGCTCAGGAGGCTGTGACTGTTTCACCACCTCAGCCACGTTACTTGTTTGCCATCAGTGGCAATCCAGGGAACTTTTGTCCTTGTGTGCTACTTTTAGCTTCTGGTTCATCCTTTCCTGCTGGAAGGCAGACTGAAGAGGAAAGGGCGCTGCCTCTAGCTCTGTGCTCCCTGGAGTGATCCCAAAATCCAGAGTGCCTGGCTTTGTGCTGTGACTCCAGAAGTGAGTTGCACACTGTCCACCAATACCGTGTACTGTTGGATCTGTCACTGTAGAGCTGTCTGCAGTCACCAAGGTCCTGTCCTTCTGTCTTTGGGGAGGGAGTGTTGAAGGAAAAATTAGTGGCTGATATTATGGTAATAGTATTGTTCAGGAGTTAAACTGTTGCAATAGAGGGGAAGAAATTGGTTTTTGGGTCCTGCAAGCTTCAGCAAAGACTGATTGCCAGGGGAGCCTTAAGACTGAGAGGAGGAGTAGATAACTTGCTTCATTTAAAGCAGAGAATTGTCGTCTCTGATTCATTTTGTCAGCCCTGAACAAGCTTTAACAGACTTTGAGATTCATGCTCTAGCTCGGCCGTCTGTATTCCAGGGAATCTTATTGTGAGGCTGTGAATTTCATGCCCAGAATGTGTCAGAGTTCATTTTGCTGTCTTGTAGAGGGAGGGAGGGGAGAGCCCTCCACTGCCTCCTTACAGCAGTACCTGGCACACTTCATGTTGGCTTGCACAGAGCCGTAGGCTGAAATGGTCCTTGGCAGAAGAAGTTTCTCACGGCAGCAGCTGAAGGAGCACAGCCCCTCAGTGACCCTTTTCTCACAGAGCTTTCTGCACCACCCAGCTGGGCTCTCCCTCCTGCCCTCTGATTTTTGTCTGTCTGATGGGCAGCAATTACTCCCTGAGTTGCAGCACTCTTCTCAGGGAATGAGAATTAGGGGAACGTTCTTGTTTGCTTTGCACTGGGGAGCAGATTTCTTGCCTGGCTTTTCCCTACTGTCCTTCCCATATTGCTGCAGGAGTGTTGCAGTGAAAACTGGTTTGTGCTTACAGTCCTTGTGACACTGATCTGTTTGGGATTTATTGGCTGGAGTGGTAGGAAGGGCACAGTTTGGCAAATGGCTTGAAACTAATGGTGAGAGATTAGGGGTTTTTTTCAGAGTTTAATCAGGAGGGAGATTGAGTTGAATGCTGAAAGAGTCTGTGTTGCTCTTAGCCTTGCAGCTGCTGCATTCAACTCCTGCCATGGGGAAAAAAGCCCTGACTGCTCACCAGTAGGTATGTTTTCATGCACACACAAACACTGAAACACACGTGTGTATACAGACACACTGTGATATACGTAGCTGTCTGTGATGGTTTGGGGTGTGCTGAAGCTGCTGGCTCAGGGCCTGATGTCACTGCAAAGCTCTGAGGGCCCTCCCAGGCTGCTTCCCAGCCACCAGCAAGTTTCTCTAATTGGATTTATTCGCATATGCTGTGGCTGATAAGCAGAAGGTTAATAAGAAAGAAAGTTGACTTTTCTTGGTTGCCAAATTCCTATTTTTAGTCAGATAATTTAGGAGAGAAATACTGCTAAAAGCATCGTTTTATTCCTGGTCTTAATGTAAAGCAAGGATTATCTATTTTAAACACTTAGCCTTTCTGTCAGCAGCTTGGTTGGAGTTCAGTAATGCCAGTTGCTTCCATCAGCTGAGGACTTTAAGACTCCCCACCCTTTCCCTCTATAAAGTGCATCCTTTGCTTTCTATGGATCCTAATAAATGGAATTACAGACTGGTTTGGGTTGGAAGAGACCTTAAAAGCTCGTCCAGATCCACCCCCTGCCGTGGGCAGGGAGACCTTCCACCAGCCCAGGTTACTCCAAGCCCCGTCCAGCCTAGTGTCATTAAACACCACCCATTTCCCCCCCTTGCCATGGGCAGGGACACCTTCCATCAGCCCAGGTTGCTCCAAGCCCCGTCCAGCCTGGCCTTGACCACTTCCAGGGATGAGGCAGCCACAGCTTCTCTAGGCAATAGCAACATCACACAGTTAAACTCAATATTTTTTAGAATGCTGTTTCCTTCTAGGATATCCCAAGTGCCTGACAGCAGGGAAGAGCTGTAGAGAATGAGGCATTTCCTTCTTTCTGTCAGAGCAAAGGTGTCAAGCAAGCAAGTTAATTTAGGCAAAGTGTGGTAGAATTGTGCCACACTGTTGCACATCTCCTGAAAAGTGATGAGAGGGCTTTTTTCTCCCTCAAACCTGTGTCAAGAACTGGGTCAAAAATACTCTCAAGGCTGCAGTCTATGAAGGGAAAAAGAACCCAGCAGTGTACTGGAGGGGTAGGTAAGCTAATTTGCTTAATTCTT